GAGCATTGTCCAGCGCTCGGCATTGCCGTCGTTGATTTGTTGACTTTAGACTGTTTCGAACTTGAGTGCAGCAAGTCTACTGGTCACATTCCTCCCATCTGTTAGTGCCATTTGGCATCTTAGGCTCAGTCTCCAAAGCTGGAATCTCAGCAATCTTGCACCTGAGTCTCTCATTTCTTGAACCAGCTTGCAGATGTCATGGCCATTGTCACACATTCAATTGTTTATCAACATTGACCTTCACTTGCATAGTGACCGCAGCTGCGTTCATATGTGTTCATAGTGACTTGCATTGCAACTCAAACAGTCGTAATCTGAATAAACAAATTGATGTCAGATTGTCACACGACCACTGACTGGGATTCAAAAATTGATGGTTTCAACCACAGACGCCTGTCAAGATCAGCTGACATGAATTTGACATAGTCTTAGTGCTGGCCATGACCAAGAGACGTTGGCAACAGGGTGACGATGGCAGTGATGAAGAGTGGGATGCAGGTGAAATCCAGCGGCTGCAGCGGCAGGACTCTTGTCCCTGATCGTGGATCAAATCTTTACTTGAATCAAATCCTTCACTGTCGTTTGCGACACAGTTAGTGCTTGTTACTGTGTCATCATCACAAATTGTCATTGACTCCTTTACCATGGCTGACTCAGGTGAGCCAAAAACTTGGTCCAGGCGGTGCCAGGTCGTCGTGGCCAGAAAGGGTGCTCATTGTTGGATGGGCTGCTAAGGAATGGTGGGACAATCCGATTGAAGCTGTGATGGACAGAACGGAACCGGCACAGTTCCACAACTTGGCCCAGTCCCTGAGAGTGAATGTTCCAGTGAAACAGCTACTTTGCTGAAGCTGCAGCTGTCTTCAGTTTGTTGATGTCCATGATGCCTTCACCTAAACCTGAATTTAACAAATTTGTTTGTTATTTTGACTCGACCCATGTCAGTCTAAAGCTTTGCGCCACCAAGACCACATATTCAGCATCACAGTGGCTTGCGGTCCTGCATCCAACAGACTGTCGCTGGACTCAGTTGTGGATTCATGTCATTCATCACACCCAGTTCTGATGATGAACCCTGTTGAAACATTTGCATTTGCTGCATTAATATGCATTAATCAAGGTCTTCCAGCACCACAGAGCTATGCCAGTCTTGTGCAAGATGCTGGAGATGATTGGCCTGATTGTGGCCATTAACTGCAAAGCCGGCTACCATAGAACGAGTGCATTTGTGGCATTGCTATCAGCAGTCCTGTCTGCAACTTGAATTTATTGGCCCAGTCATGTTGCTTCATGACAGCCATGTTATCTTGTGTAACCGAGTTGATTCAAACTGCGTGTCTTGTGTTCTTGTTACTTGGGAAGCCCCCTAAGGTCTTTGGTGTGGAATGCTGTTGCATCATTTTTAGCCTCAGCCAGAAACGTGCCTGGAGACAAGACCGAGAAGCAATCAACAGGTGGCTGGATGAAAGTGACGCAATCAAGAGGCGCCCATGCCAAGCAGTAGTCAGTGTCTCCAATCCAAGTTGAACGACATATTGTTACTTCTGACTTGCCGATGATGATGTTGCCACGACTGACTGTGTTCATTTTTAGTTGATGGCTGTTGCAGGTCTCTGATTGCCTCTGAATCATTGGCCCGGATGGGAATGTCTTCAAGGCAGTGGGCCCAAATTCAAATCAAGACTCTTTCCAACTTCTGGCGCATCCACAACTGCCATCCATATCCTTTGCCAGACTGTTTGAGGTTCCTGGGTGAAATAATCAGATTGTCATTTACACTGTGCGAGATTGAAGTTATAAATTTACGAACCCAACGCGAACCAAGGCTTCCGCGACCCCAACCAAAGGTTCGACCACAGCAACGGAAACAGCCGAAGGCGAAGTCGATGCCAAAGCGTGGTTTGGCACCAATGCTTCCATTGCCTCCATCTTATCCACCCCGAGCGGACTTGTGGGCAACTGCAGCACAGAATTTGCAATTGCAATCCATATTGATTCTTGTCGTGAAATGTCAGTCAAAAACACATGCCATATCATGCCATTGTCAGTCAGCTGTAGTCAACTTCAAGTGTCAGCCCAGTTCATGATTGCTGAGTGAGGATGGAGATCTTTGAAGGCGTCCCTGAGAACCTCAAGCGAATTCTTCTTGTCTTGCCCCTCTGCCGGCAAATACGCTTTGCCCCAATGATCTGGCGACAGGACCTTCATGCGACTTACGGTCCTCGTTGGCCTCGCTATTTGTTGAATTGTCTCATTTGTGACATTGGAGCAGTTGCTGAGCATGATGAGTGATGAGTATTAGATCCTTGCTTGCAATTGATTGTTTTCAAGTGCAGTATCAAAATCAAATTTGGGTTGCTGAGTTGCTGATGAGTGTGGGTCTTTGTTGGATGAAGTTGTTGACGATGTTCTTATCTTAGGATGTTATGATGCTCCCGTCATTGACCTGTGCACAATTCAATCGTCATTGACCTGAGCTAGACTACAGTGATGTGTCGTTTGTCATTGACAGTGGAAAAATGCGTCCACACTGATGATGCCTCACATGACTCTTAGACAACTGAGTTTGCGAAAGTATTTGACTTCACTTGGTTTGAAGCAGCAAAGAGATTCTGACCTCTGACAATTCAATTGCTTTAATTAATTTAAGATGCAATGTAGCCGGTATTGGCTCAAAATGACAACTAATACAGTAGCACTGGGGGCATTAGATAGCGAAGGCCAAAGGTTGGTTCGCGAATATGACTTGACAAGGCCAGTCAAATTTCGGCATGTTCGTTGACTGTCCCTGTATAGTTTCATCATGTGCTGCTGTCAGGGAGTTTGTCTCAATTTGATCAGGTCTTGTGTTTGTTCAGTGACCGGCTGCGAAGGCCTACCATCCAGGCATTTGGCCTGATGCGCTTGATCTTCCCGGAGAAATATGCTGATGTGTGTGCCTTCCTTTCAGATAGAGACCGGTCTCGTCGTGTTTCCGGCATGTTTTATTATTTCAGACGTATTCAGACGTGCTTGAGAGTTGCTCACGTCGTCATGACTGGTTGTTGTCATTGACTTAGTTTGATTTTGCTGACTTCGTCATTGACTGAGTGGCCAGATATCAAAAACGTCAACGGATGGCTGATCAAGACGTTTCGGAAGCAGGCAGATTAGTCAGGAGCCCGGAGAATGGAACACACAGTGTGAGACTTTGCCAAAGTTATGATCTGTCACCCCAACTTGGATCAGTGGAAAACTTTGAAAGTAAGGTGCAATCAGGAATTGGGCCTGCCAGTGGGGCCGGTGGATTCAAATGAGGCCGAACGTCTTGAGCTGTGTAGTCATGAATGTCAAGAAGATCTTGAGTACATTGATGTCAATGCAACAGAACAACAATATTTGATGCTTGTGCAGAAAGCTAAGGCCCATTGAACTGCAACAGCACCGGCAATGGTTGTCGTGCGTATGGTGAAAAAAGTGTTTTGCACTGACCGTCTCATCATTGGGTGTTTTCAGCATGCTTTGTTGCGATGGTGACTGCTCACTGCTTATACTCTTGGGTTTTCATGATGAGCGGGAAACAAAACTGCGAAGCTGAGGTTCGTGTGCTGGAGGATTTGCCAGCGCATCACATGCTTGATCCAGTCAGGGCCCAAAAGTCCTAGAGCTTGAATCGTGACAATTTGTCAATGACTTGCTCAGGTTTATGACCATCTTAGCCAAGCGGTTGCTGATGATGGCTCTGTGTCAGTGTCTGGTGAGTGTGGCTCTTCTTTCTCTGATGACACGATCGACTCTCCTCAGACACTATCGTCATACTGGTATGTTCTTGTTGCAAAGACTTGAGTCTTGAGTTTGATTGATGAATGACAAATCTTGGCCAAGGCCTGGATGGAGACCTGTGGTGCACGCAGACCAATTGCTGAGTGACACTGACGATGACGAGCATGTCCATTCCGGGGACTCAGATGCAGAAACACTGATGCTTCCAGGAAATGGTGAAGACGATGTGGATGAGGGCGACCCTGCTGCTCCACACCTTCATTGGTCGTGGCCACCGCTTTGGGAGATTGTGACAGAGCACCATTATCATTTCTCCCCTGCAGCATTCCATGAGGACGATGTTGGACACCAAGGCTCAACCAATGATGACGACCAGCAAGGACCTCCATCAAAGAGACAGCGAGTGTAGTTAGTCAATTTCCACTTTTCAATCTTGGGGAATGTTGCAGTGCCACAATCACAGCGTTGTGTGACGTTCCATTGCAGATTTGATCGGTTTGCTGCAGTGCATACGTATACTATGTGACAGCGCTGTGGCGATTGGCAGGTGCACGGGAAAAGTATCAGAGTGCAGCAGCAGTAGCTCACTTTTTAAGAGTTGAATTGAGGTGTCATTGTCTCGTATTTCGCACATTGTGTCACTGACCTTGTCTTGCAGATTGTGTCATTGACTTTGCAGTTACGAAGATGATTTTGAGTCATTGACTTTGTTTCAATGCCAATTGTGCTGTGTCATTGACTGACCACCCGTGGAAAGGTTTCAGAAAATGAGTGTCAAGCCACAGTGTTTGCATTCCAGCAAGTCGTGATCAGGACTTGACATTGACATTGACATGCATCAATGAGAATACCAGCATCATTTCTGTCATTTTACAATTGAACAATCAAAACTTTAAACATCATTGAGTGCTACAGTATTTGCAACTTTGCCATCGGCGTCAACTGCCACCGGCTTCCCAGCTCACACTGTCGTGGAACTGGCCTGTTTAATGACGCAACTGTCCAGCGTCTGCCCAGCTGCATGCAATTGAGTCAGAATTGCGCCCAAAACATGCAATGCTCTTTTGTGTCAGCTGCCATCTCGTCTCATACTTGCATTGCATGTGAGTGTCATTGGTACAACTCAAGATGATGCTTGGTCCAGGCCCACCTTGGTTGTTAAATGTTCAAACAAAAAGAGTTGAATGAATGAGCATTATTCACAAGGGGAATTTTACAACCATCTCCATGCAGTTGCCATGTCGGATGAAAAGGTTTGGAAAAGATGGTGCCGGACGTTCCACTGGCTCCGAGGCACACCAAAAAGATCCAGATGTTCATTGTGTCCCGGCTTTCAGAGCAAGGTCTGGAAGAAGAGCCAACTGATCCAACATGAGAGAAGTAAAGTGCATTCAACTTCAGCTGGGCGATGTTGCTGTCCAGATGCCGAAGCCTTTCGCCAAATGTTTGATGAGAGGAACAATGGCACCTCTCTCCGAAAATCCAAGCATGGTCTGTCCAAGTCAGTGAAGCTAATGTGGGTTTCAAATGAAGCCATCAAGGAGATTGTCAAAGCAAGGGTTCAGCGATGCCTGACGGCGAGTCTGTCGCAAGATGGGCAGGGCAGTTCTTTGGGAGTCAGAATGACTGTGGTCAGCTTTGCAAAGGGTCATGAGCTTAGAGAATCATGCGATGCTGTCTTGTGATGTCTTGGGAAATCTTGGTGACACCATTGAACATTTGAGTCCATTTCCTTGGCCATCTCTTGTTGGCACTGTTCCCCAAGGCGAGGAACGACTCATCACTACCAATTCTCCCCTGGCGTTTCTGAAGAGCGAGCTAAGTGGGTCTCACAATCTGGCAAAGGCATCTCGCAAAGCATCCCGGCGTTTCTTCACAAAGAGATTGTGTCCACCTCATGGATGGATTGGGATGAAGCCACTGCTGGAAAAGTCCTTGTTGAAAAAGTACAATGATTCAGTGGAAACTTGGTTTTGAAGTAGCTGCAGTAGTCTGTCAGTCAAGACTTAGTCTGCAGATGTTTGCACCACCTTCTGATCTGTGACCTCAGGAGTTTCTTGGATCTGATGCAGCTCCAGACGAATTGAAAACCTTGCGTTTAAACACGCAACTGCAATGGTTCCGAAATGCCCGAATAAGGGTGAGGGATGCAGCGCACGGTTCCTTACTCAAATTGAACCACTTGTTCTTTTCTGGAATTTGATCTCACAGTCGTCTTGTCAATTGAAATTAATTTCCTATAATTTTCCAAATCTCAGGCTGACGCAGAAGTGGAACAAGATTCCCATGCTCAAGGAGGTTTGGTACAAATACTGCTGGTCTTCGAACAGCATTATCAGCCTCATCCACCACAGCCCTCAGAATGTGCGGATTTTCAGGAAATATGAGCCTTGGCCTCTTTGGGTTTGGTGTTCGAGCAGGAACTTGAATGAATGACAGTGAGAGAGTTTCCCTATGCCATTAAATTATCGACTGATAAGGTGAAAGAAGATTCCAAGAGGACCTGGAAAACCCGCAACCTATGTTTCGCCAAACATCGCCACTCGAGCATGTTGAAACCAGCATCAAGGTTCGTTCTCCACACGTCTGCAATCATTCATGCAGCAATGGAGACTCTTGTCATTGCGTCAGTGACCATTTCCCATTTCAATTGATTTGTTGTAATTGACCCTGGCATTGAGTGACCAAACCTAAGCCAGATCCAAGGATCTACGCAAGGAGAACAACGCCCAAGCCCAAGAAGAATGCTGAGTCGTTTCTGCTTTCCATCAATGAGGAAGCCATACTTCAAATGGCGATGATGTGTGACGCAGCACAAGAGGAGCTTGACTTGCCACTTTGCTTGACTTACTGACTTGATACTGCTTTGACTTTCAATTTGCACAGTCAGTTTCTGATTCTCGTGTGGGAAGGTTGCTTGATCAACCCTTTGAGGATCCGGTTCTGTGACAAGAACACCGTGGACGTGTCTCAAATGCGAGCTGCAATGGATGGTTTCATGAACCGAATCAACACCTTGTTTCTCAAACAGAAAGCTCTTCAGGTTCAATCCTACACACGACATGTCTCTTGATGGCAAATAATTCTGGGAGTGATGAAAAACATTTCTCATAATATGAACCTCACATCCATGACATGTTCATGATGTCAATGACATTCACAATCTCATTGAGATTTACAGTCAATGACGTCAGTGACATCAATGACATCAATGACAATCACAGTCAATGCCCCGTCAATGACAGTCAGTCTATGAAAGTCTGGCCTTCAATCCAATTGCCTTGAAGGCTATGGTA